TGCAGAATAACAAAATGAATGCCGTGAATAAACCGAAATACACGTGTTGAAGCGGTTCGCTGGTGATTACTACGCCCCCCCCCGAATATTCGCTGCTAATTACTACCGAATATCCGGAGCCCGAAAAATGGTATTCAAGACAGCCCTAAAGTACAGTACTTGAATAAGCGTACTTAGTAACTTCCCACATCTGAAATCAGATATGACTTCAAGTCATGTGATAATTTCTTAGTATTTGATCCTTCAACTTGGCCTCAGGAAATGCAAGGACTTCACAGTTTTGGCAACAAGTTTTGGAGAAAGCAAATCGGAGGCTTAAAAAGAGACAGGGAGGTACATCTTCATCATCTTCATCATCTATCATGCAAGAAGTGTAAATAGAGGAAAGTGAAGGAGACACTGAGGAGGACCACGCTTCGTGTGGGGTGAGTACCAAACACCAGAGGTGGGGACTCGAGTCACAAGTCGCATATTTTTGGACTTGAGACTTGTTTGACTAACATTGATAAAAGACTTGACTTGACTTTGAATTGGTATTCATGACTTGAGACTTGACTTAAGCTTGAGACAGATGACTTGAAAGGACTTGACTTTTTTAAATTAAATATTTGCGTTTGTTTTTGTATTGAGACATTACGTTTAGTTTTTTCAAAATGTGATTGGGTGATTATAGCGCCATGCGCGCAAACCTGGCAACCCACTAGTAGGCAGGAGCATAGATATATATAAACACTAGATGGCTCATGGGAGATTTTCCAGCGAAGCTAACCGGCCGCCATCTTGCTACAGTCAACAGCTACTCTGATACGCGCTATGGTAGCTGTTGTAAGGTGAGTGATCTGCACAAAAATACTCTTAACTCGCTGAAATCTTGACTAATTTACAAACGGTTTGGTTTATTATAAACGTTATTAGCATGGCTATGATGCAGGATGCTTGGGCATGTTGAAATTGCAGCTTTTCTTTGTGTATGTGGTTGTATTTATTAGCTGGCTAATAAGAAGAGGCTGTGAGTGAGACCTAATATTACAAAATTGACCCAGCAACTTTACACCAGTGGGAGAGGTATAACTGCTCTTTCTTTTCAACATAACTTAAGTTACACATGATTTCTTCCAAGTGGTTTGGCTTGTTAAAAACATCTTACATTTTAGATACATTATGATACAGGAAATTGCTGGCTTTGTGTTTACAGAAGTACCTGACTATGCCTGACTTTTGTGCAGCCTACGGATGCTCTAATCACCTTAGTCTGGAAACAAGAACCCGTTTCTCATGTTTTTAAGGTTTCCCAAAACCGGAGAGAGGAGGAGGCAGTGGGAAGTTGCAATGGGAAGTTGCCCTAAGAAGGGACGGTTTTGTTTCCTCTGGTAGGACACTGCTCTGCAGTGAGCACTTCAGGAGTGAGGACTTTGACAGAACGGGGCAGACTGTCCGGCTTAAAGATGGTGTTGTGCCAACAATATTCAACTTCCCAGCTCATCTTCAAAGGGTATGTGTTGGCCAACAAGAATTCAAGGTGTATAAGATTGATATATAAATATGTGATTAAATGTTACACTTTAGTTTTTCTTTCTGCAAGTTTAGGAATAAATAATGTGTTGTGTATTACAGCACATTTTAAACACTCAAAATGTCTTTAATTATGTTTATTTTAGCCGGAAGCAACAAGAAGCACAACCACATCTAGAAGAGCGGAAGATGACCTGCCCATGGACTTATCTCAGAATGAACCTCAGCCTAATGTTGTGAGTATTCTGAATGTGGCCAAGACCAGAGAGATTTAGTTCTGGAGGGTGAGGACGTCTCCTCTACCCCTGTGCATTCTGGGAGAGGATGTGGCTGTTGTGGAGGACTACAAATACCTGGGATACCCCGGTCCTATGTGTTAATCTGTGTATATTACACTTGCGTATGAGATCATGCAACCCAGTCTCACGGTATTACGTGTAATAGTCACAACATTTAATCTATTGATTCGTGTTCACCAAAACAATTTTTTCCCTTCTTTCGTGTCACACAGAACGATTTTAAAAGCAATGTATTTCTATTGGTAGTAAAGGGCTGCTCCCCCAGGAAGATTTTTTTTTTTAATATTGAAGTTAAATGCATCAACCTGGTGCACTTTGAGAGCAAAATGAATTTAAGGATACAGCTCTCAACACCCATATGAAACAGAACTGTAAACAGATTTTCT